TAGGATTTACGAAGTTGTGTGGGAGGAGCCAAGTACAGCCATTCATATGTAGAAGTAGCTGGGTGGGCTCGAAGTTGGGTGGGGCAGAGTCTCAGGGGATCTCCGAGGCAGGTCAAACAGTATTAGCCAAATTGTGGGTGGAGGATTTAGAGAAGGGACTGCAGCCTTGCTCACCTCGGTGCCAGACTCTTCAGTTTCTCCCGGGTGCTGGGGCCCAGAGGGAGTGAGTCTAGTCGGTGAGTGCGAGTGTGGGGTCTTCACGGGGACCTGCTTGTGGCTCTAGCCCTTTCTTCCTCTGACTCAGCCTCCACTGGTTTTTGCAGCCAGAAGTTGTGGGGACTTCCTGGCACTGGAAGGTTCGGCTGGGAGGCCCGGCGTGGGGCTGGGACTCCTCACTCCTGAGATGTCCCTCCCGAATTTTTATCTGCCAGACGTGGGCGTGGGGCCTGCCTGTTCCACGTCTGTGCCCCTCCCACCGGTTTGGATGGAGGTGGTTTCTTTAATTTCCTAGTTGTCCGGCTTCCATTCAACCCAATTTTTGGTTCTGAGTGAAGCTTGCTCTATATTTTAGTTGTAATTTTGATGTGGTTGTGCGAGGAGGCAAGCCATGTCTGCCTACGCTGCCATCTTGACCAGAAGTCCTGTGGTTTCCATTTTAAATGTATTGATTTAAATCGGTCTTCCTATTATCCATGAATTTTATCCAAAAGTGTGATCCTATTTCCATTTCTATTTGATCTCTCCCGAATAAGTCTCACCAGAGGTTTGTTAATTTATTTGGTTTTTGCAAACACTTTTGGCTTCATTACCTCCCTAGTATGTTCATGTTTTTGTTTTTTAAGGTTTTTAAAATGTATGTTTAGAGAGAGGGGAAGGAAGGTAGAAAGGGAGGGAGAGAAGCACCAACACCGGAGAGATACTTCAGTCAGTTGCCTCTCACGAGCTCCCGGCTGCAGACCTTGCCGCGTCCCAGGCACGCGCCCTGCCTGGGAATTGAACCCAGTGGGCTTTCCGTTCACAGGTCGGCACTCGGTCCACTGGGCCACACCAGCCAGGGCTCTTTCTCTCTCTAAAATCAATAAATATATTCTCAAGTAAGGATTTTTTTTTAATGGGTGTTGAGCTCCTTAATTTTATCTCTTATTTCCTACTATACATCCTGTAAGATTATACATTTCCTTTTTAGTAGCGATAAGTAATTATGTTATTGTTCAATATAATTTCTAATTTTTATTATTCTTAGACGTGGGGATATGTAAAAAGTACATTTCTTAATTTCCTTCTTTTTAAATATATTTTATTGATTATGCTATTACAGTTGTCCCATTTTCCCCCCTTCACTCCCCTCCACCCTGCACACCCCTCCCACCCACATTCCCCCCCTTTAGTTCATGTCCAAGTGTCATACTTATAAGTTCTTTAGCTTCTACATTTCCCATACTATTCTTGCCTTCCCACTGTCTATTTTCTGCCTGCTGTCTTTGCTACTTATTCTCTGTACCTTTACCCCCCTCTCCTCCTCCCACTCCCCTATTGCTAACCCTCCATGTGATCTCCTTTTCTGTGGTTCTGTTCCTGTTCTAGTTGTTTGCTTAGTTTGTGTTTGTTTTTGTTTTTGGTTTAGGTGTGGTTGTTAATGATTGTGAGTTTGCTGTCATTTTACTGTACATGTTTTGTTTTTTTTCTTAGATAAATCCTTTTAACATTTCATATAATAAGGGTTTGGTGATGATGAACTCCTTGAATTTAATCTTATCTGAGAAGCACTTTATCTGCCTTTCCATTCTAAATGAAAGCTTTGCTGGATAGAGCAATCTTGGATGTAGGTCCTTGTCTTTCAAGACTTGGAATACTTCTTTCCAGCCCCTTCTTGCCTGTAAGGTCTCTTTTGAGAAATCCGCTGACAGTCTGATGGGAATTCCTTTGTAGATAACTGTCTCCTTATCTCTTGCTGCTTTTAAGGTTCTTCTTATCTTTAATCTTGGCTAATGTAATTATGATATGCCTTGGTGTGTTCCTCCTTGGGTCCAACTTCTTTAGGACGCTGTCAGCTTCCTGGATTTCCTGGAAGTCTATTTCCTTTGCCAGATTGGGGGAGTTCTCCTTTATTATTTGTTCAAATAAGGTTTCCACTGGTGGCTGTTCCTCTTCCCCTTCTGGTACCCCTATAATTCGGATGTTGGAACATTTTAAGATGTCCTGGAGGTTCCTAAGCCTCTCCTCATTTTTTTGAATTCTTGTTTTTTCATTCTTTTCTGTTTGGTTGTTTCTTTCTTCCTTCTGGTCCGCTCCCCTGATTTGATTCCCAGTTTCCTTTCCATCACTATTGGTTCCCTGTGCATTTTTCTTCATTTCACTTAGCGTAGCTTTCATTTTTGCATCTAATTTGTGACTAAAATCAACCAGTTCTTTGAGCATCCTGATCACCAGTATTTTGAACTGTGCATCGGATAGGTTGGCTATCTCTTGGTCGCTTAAAAGTATTGGCTCTGGAGCTTTGATTTGTTCTTCCGTTTGAGCCTTTTTTGGGGGGGTCTGGTCCTGCCTGTTATGAATGAGGGGCAGAGCCTTAGGTGTTCACCAGGGTGGGGCAACCCAGTGGCTGGGTTGTGACGCTGTATGTTGGGGGGGAGGGTCAGAGAGGAAACAATGGCGCTTGCTCTGCTCTCTCTCGGATTTTAGTCCCTTCTACCGCTTCCCACAAGCAAACTGGGCCCTTCTGGTGCTGATTCCCAGGTGGGTGGGCTTGTGTACATTCTAGGACCCTGTGGGTCTCTCCAACAAACTCTCCTGTGAGGCTGGGAGTCTCTCCCAGCACCTCAACCCCCACAAGTGTTTTCAGTCGGTGCTTTTAGGCTTTATTTCCCGTCGCTGGGGCCCTGGGTTATGCGGTCCGTCTTGCTCCCCACTTTCGCCTGGTTTACCTGCCACGTGAATGTGGGACCGCCTGGTCTGCCAGCCGCCTTGCCTGTCTCGCCCCTCCACGGTCCGCCCCTCCGGGTCTCCCCGCTGCCAGCCCGCCAGTCACCGCTTTTATTGCTGCAACCCCTCTCCTTCCGCCGCCCAAATCTACCCTTCTCCCCAGTCTGGGTGAATGTGTCTATTTTAACTCCTTGGTTGTCAGACTTCCATACAGTTCAATTTTCTGTCAGTTCTGGTTGGTTTTTTGTTTCCAATTTTTTGTTGTTACTATTTTCACTGTGCGAGGAGGCACTCTATCTTGGCCAGAAGTCTCTATTTCTTAATTTCTAAACACAAGTATGTTATATATATATAGTTTATCTTTAGAGGTGAAGGGAAGGAGAGAGGGAGAGAAACATCAATGTGTGGTTGCCTCTCATGAGTCCCCTGCTGGGAACTGGCCCGCAACCCAGGCATGTTTCCCGACTGGGAATCGAACCAGCGACCCTTTGCTTCACAGGCCCGTGCTCAATCCACTGAGCTACACCAGCCAGGGCTAATTGTGTCATCTTTTTTTTTTTTTTTTTTTAATATTTATTTATTTATTTATCTTTAGAGGGGAAGGTGAGGGGGAGAGAAACATTAATGTATGGTTGCCTCTAGCTTGTCCCCTGCTGGGAACTGGCTTGCAGGGAACTGGCTTGCAACCCAGGCATGTGCCCTGACTGGGAATTAAACTGCGATCATCTGGGTCGCAGACCTGCGCTCAATCCACTGAGCTACGCCAGCCAGGTTTAATTGTATCTTTTTAAAGCTCTGCAAGTCATTGTTCTGTTTACTGCCCATGTATTTACCATTTCCTTTATTCACTGTTCCTTCTTTTAGAGCCTGAAGTTTGGACTTATCTAGTGGTGTTTTTCTTCTGTCCAAAAAGCACATCCTTGAACTTCTTTAGTGGAATTTTTCTGAGGTAAACCTTTTAGTTGCCTGAAGATATCATTTCCCAAATCCTCGGAAGATATTTTCACTCGACATGGAATTCTGAGATGGCAGTTACTATCTTTCCGAACCTTAAAGGTTCCCCTACTGCTGCCTTCTGGGCCCCATTGTCTTCCTTGGGAAGTTTTTCTGTTGAAAGGTAATTTTCCCTTTCTGGATACTTATAAGGCTTTTTTGGTTCTTTTGGTTTTCTGCAGTTTTATCAAGTGGCTGGTGTGACTTTATTTTTATTTTTTATACTTGTAATTATTGGACTTCTGAAGTCTGTGGATTGGTGTCTTTCTTCAATTCTGGGGAATGCTCTGTCTTTTATCACTTCCTATTTCACCTCTGTGGCATTTTCTTCACACTGCACTTTCTGTGAACATGCGTGTGCATGTGTGTGTGTGCGTGTGTGTACGCGCACTTTGGGTGTCATCCCATAAGTCACTGGCAAATCCAATGTCCATAAGTGTTTGTGTTATATTTTATTCTAAGAGTTTTGCACTTTTAGCTCTTACATTGAGGTCTTTGATCCACTCTGAGTTGTTTTTGGTTTGTGGCTGAGGGAGGGTCCACCTCCGTCCACTTGCACGTGGGCGTGCTGCTGTGCTGGCGATGTCCCAGGAACGTCCTTCCCCGACTGGGTGGCCTCAGGCACCGTTCACGAGACTCATTTGGACATATCCAAAGGTTTATTCTGTACTGCTGCACAGTTTATTAAAGATTAATTAATAGTGGGTCCATCACTTGTATTCATAAATATCATGGTGCTTTGCGTCGTTAATTCCGTGATTTGGGACGAGATGTATCTTGTGCCGCTGTCGGCCGCACTGAGATGGGATTGGCTGCTGTTTCCGGAGCCACACACAGCGTCCGGCGCATCTGATCAAATGTTTTTCTCAAGTTATTTGAATACAGAAGTAGTTCATCTGCTACTTTCAACTAAGTTTAGAAAGGTTAAATAGTAATTGTTAGTATTTTTTGTGTACAGTTAGTGCAAAATGACTAGATCTTTAACTAGAAAGCCCTGCCTACCCCCCTCCTTCGCACGCGTCCCAAACGCACCTTCTTGTTGTATTTCTCCCCGTGACTCACTGCTTGTCTCAACTCATTGGCAGGTTGTGACGTTCTCCCGTCGTCCCAGCTGTGTGGACAGTGCCACACGCCGGCGGAACAGCGACGGCGCTCGCGTGCATGTTCCAGTGCTGCTTCTGCCAGAGAGCCCCCCGGAGCCGCAGTTCTTCCGGCGCCAGCCCTGAGCTGCGCGGCGCGTGCCCAGCAGAGATGGTGAAGATGACAAAATCCAAAACCTTCCAAGCCTACCTGCCAGACTGTCACCGGACGTACAGCTGTGTCCACTGCAGAGCCCACCTGGCCAATCACGATGAGCTGATCTCCAAGGCAAGTGGTTTGTGCCCAGAGCGGATGAGATTCCGTAGCAGTGGCTACTGTCCCTAGTTCCCCGGGACAAGACAGGTGGCGAAGCATCACACGGCTGCCTGGTTTGCCGTGTCCTGAGGGTCTAGGGCCTCCTGGGCGGCGCTGAGGAAGGTTCCGCGTGTGATTACATGTGGCTGCGCCGCGCGGTCATGATCTTTCAGGGGTGGCTGGGCTCGGCAGGCCGGGGCGCGGGGGTGCCCGTGGCCCCGAGGAGCAAGCCGGGTTGGTTGTCTGCCTGAGCAGAGAAAGTCGTATGGAGCCAGACCCCGGGAGGAACAGAGGTGTCTAGAAAACCTGGGGAAATAGTGTAAGAAGGGGATTAAGACTTTCTTAAAACTTACAATGGTTAAGAAAAGAGGCTGTCGGGTGGAGCATAGCATCTTTCGGGAGAGAATGCCCAGGAGGGAAGTGCTGGGCCCTCTTTGCTGATGGGACGAGAACAGCCCCCTCCTTTCTTATTAGGAGGAACTCTATTAGCAGGATATAATGCTTAGAATTACCCTCTTATGAGCTTTTTTTTTAAAAGATTTTATTTACTTATTTTTAGAGAGAGGAGAAGGGAGGGAGAGAGGGAGAAAAACATCAGTGTGTGGTCTCTCGAACACCCCCACACCCCTACTGGGGACCTGGCCCACGACCCAGCCATGTGCCCTGACTGGGAATCAAACCGTGAACCCCTGGTTCGCAGCCCGTGCTCAATCTACTGAGCTATACCAGCCAGGGGGGTGTGTCATTTAAAATAAAAACTGTTATGGCAGAATTTCTGTCCTCTCATTGCTTCTGTGGCTCCTTTGTCCAGTCAGAAGTTTCTGGTCAGAAGTGGAAGTGCCTCAGATACCCGGTTTCTTGGTTGCTTTCTGCAGCCTCCAGGTTGGGGCTCAGTGTCCCTTAGTTGAGCTCCCAACACCGCGGTGCAGGCACCTTTCTGCCCCTCATTCTGAAGCCTTGGGACGAACCCGCCTTGAGGCGGGTGAGGGGACAGGAGCTGCTCCTTCTAAAGGACCCTCGGGCCCTGAAGCTGCTGCTTGAGCTGCGTCGAGGGCGGAGGCCTGCCCGGTGGAAACGGTCCTGCGTTAAGGGGGCGGTTTGGGGGGAGGACGCACAGGCGGCAGAGGTGTTTCGGCTGGTGGTGAAGCGCGCCGCTGCTTTTGGTCTTTGCATCAGCGCTTTCCAACCTTTTCAACTCATGGCACATGTAAACTAATTACCGAAATTCTGCAGCATGCCCCCAAATAGATTTTTGCTGATCTGACAAAAAAAAACAACAGGTATGATTTTGATTGATGCACTGCAGAGCTGTTGTTGTATTGGCTGTCGTCAGCTTTTTTTTAATATGAAAAGAGGTCAGGGCCCCTGACTAAGTAGTCAGGTAGTGCGTGATTCAAAAACTCCTGCAGCGTGCTGGTCGAAAATCTCTGCTGTGCGGTTGTTTCACAACCTGTCGCCGAGCACAGCCCTGTTCGTGCGAAGCTGGCGGTGCCGTCCTGACGGCTTCACCAGCCTCTGGGCCCATCTCTGCGTTCACAGGCAGCCCCCTGGCCCAAGAAAGCCTTCCTGGTGCGGGCAGGTCGAGTTACTAGAAGACTTGGTCTAATTTGCAGACTGAATCTGGAGGCCACATCTGGCAAACCACCTGATTTTGTGGAGTTTTCTGTATCCTCTGTGGCTGTTGTCGTGCCACAACAGAAGAGTTGCAACAAAGGGTGTGTGGCCCCCGAAGCTGAAAATACGTACTGGCTCTGATTCCCAGCAGTTTGCAGAGCCCCCTGTATCCGACTGTGGCCTGAGCCCCGCATCTCACACATCTCTGGTTCCAACCCTGCATGACAAATAAGCACTTGCCGAATAGGCGAGAATTCGGAAAAGCATTCCAGGAAAGTGAAGGCTGATAGGAATGTGTGCAAAGTCTGTAAGATGATTCTGTAAGTTGCACATAAAGTAATATTCCCAATTCTAGGAAGCCGCTTAAGAGAAGAACCCCTTTTAAGTCTGAAAGCTGTATATTTAAATCAAAACCCTGCTAGTCTCAGGCTTGGTTTTGCTGCAGTAACAAAGAACCCCAAAGCTTAGTCGCTTAAAACAAAGGTTTATCTCTTGCTTCAGTGAGATGTTCATCATGGGTCAGCTGGGCTCGCTCTTTAATTATAAAGGAAACTTGTTTGTAATTACACATGAAAGTGATGTATGTCTATAAAGTGAAAAATGAGAATTACTTTTCCTCCTTCCTTATCCCAACTCCATTTCTTAGAGTTGTCACTTAGTGGGTTCTTACTGTTTTTTGGTTGGTTGGTTGGTTTTGTTTTGTGTTTTGTTTTATGTCCATGAGGACACATTTTTACTTTTTTTTTTTATTTTATTTATTCATTTTTTTAGAGGGGAAGAGAAGGGGAGAGAGGGAGAGAAATATCTATGTGTGGTTGCCTCTCGTGCGCCCCCCCCCCGCCCCCACTGGGGACCCGGCCCGCAACACAGGCATGTGCCCTGACTGGTATTTGAACTGGCAACCCTTTGGTTTGCAGTTTGTGCTCAATCCACTGAGCTACACCAGCCAGGACTTACTTTTTTTTTTTTTTAAATGGGTTTATGTACTTTTTTTTGGGGGGGGGGAACACCTATGTATGAGAGATAACATTGATCAACTGCCTCTCGCACACCCTTAACCCAGACATGTACCCCTGACTGGGAATCAAACTAGCAACCTTTTGGTTCATAGGCTGGTGCTCAATCCAGTGAGCCACTCCAGCCAGAGCCATTTTGACTTTTTTTTCTTAATTTTTAAAGATTTTATGTATTTATTTTTAGAGAGGAAGGGAGGGAGAAAGAAAGGAGGACATTGATGTGTGAGAGATACATCAGTTTCCTCTTGCCACCAGCTGGGGACCTGGCCTGGAACCCAGGCACATGCCCTGGCTGGGCATTGAACCAGCGACCCTTCAGTTTGCAGGCCAGCACTCAGTCCACTGAGCCACACCAGCCAGGGCCATTTTCACTTTAGAGAAAGGGCTCATGACTGGTCACTTTGCAGCTAGCTTTCCGCCCCAATCAGCGCTTTGTGGCTGTCTTTCCACGCACCCTCGCGGCGTCTGTCCCTGTCCCCTTTCTCCAATGTCTGCACGATTCCCTGTGTGAAATGAGTCCACTGTTTGCTCGCCTCCCGGTGGGTGTCTCTGTTACGTTTTGTGATTACAAACACTAATGGCCACTGTTGTTGTCACATTTCCTTTCGTGCACACACTGGTTTGTTCTCTGCACTCAGTTCTGAGAGGTGGGGCTGCTGGGCTGTTCAGCGAGCGAGCTCCCATCGCCCTTCCTGGCAGCCTTTGGATCTGGGCCGGGTGACAGGCAGAGAGACCGAGATAGCGCACTCGATTGGTTTGTGTGTCGCTGGTGACTTCACAGTCGTCTGTTCCATTTGGTCGTTGGAGCCTGGCACTAGTGCAGGCGAGGAGGGCGCCCCTCGCCAGTGCCCCGCCAGTGCCCCGCCAGTGTCCCATTCCCAGGAGGGTGAGGGTTGTGGGAGCTCCAGCGGGAGTGGCCCAATTGCATCAGGGAGGCACTGAGACCCCGCTCTGCCTCCTGAGTCATCGGAGAGTACATGGACACACTGCGAGCTATTTCTTAGCTTTGTGACACTTTACTGGGGTGAGCCGTCCTTTCCTACAGGTGAGGGACCCTCTTGGGCTGTGACTTTGCTTTTATTTCAATGGAAAAGCAGGGAAACGTCCTCTTGCTCCTAATATCTGACAGACTGGGCTTCCTGTGCGGGCCAAGTGAGTGAAAACACCTGGGCGGCCCCTCTGGGGCTCTGGGGGTGCCGGGACTCCGGGCCCTCTTTTTGGGAAGATGCTTGTCCTGCTCGGGGCCCTGAGCGCCCTCCCCCTTGCGCTCTGCCAGATGGCCCTTCAGCTCATGTCAGCGTGACCCGAGACTCGGCTTCGCCACTCTTTCCAAACTGCCAAACTCAACGTCACTTTTGCCCTCTCGCAGCAAGCCTTCTAAAACTTTTTTTCTTCTTTGCAGTCCTTTCAGGGAAGTCAGGGACGCGCCTACCTCTTCAATTCCGTGTGAGTACCGACCACTGCCGTGTAGCCTCGCAGACGTGCTGTCTTCGCTTTTGGGTTGCATCTGTCACTTCTGTCCATCCATGTGATTCCTCAGAGCTGCAGTAGATAAATAGCGTTCACCAGTGGTCTGGAATTACCCAGACCACTTACATGATCTTTAAAGAATTCCCTCTCACTGGTCTTGAGAGTTTCAGGAAAGCAGGAGGCTCATGACTGAGGAGTTGGTCCCGCACACGCGAGGTGGCCTGCCGGCCGTCGTGGTGGGTTGTCAGTGTCACTGCAGCAGGACGGGTCACCCACCGTAGCCCTTCCCTGGGGGTCTCATGGGGAAGTACAAAGTCGTTCCTTTTTGTAAGCGGTGGTGGTGGGCAGGTGCTGGGGGAAGCAGGGAGTTAGGAAGAAGCAGTGCTGCATTTCTGGTAACTTTCTGGCTCACGAAGTCACCGCCTGGGGTGGGAGCCAGGCAGGGGCGGAAGGGCCGCTGCCAGCCCGGGGCCCCTCCAGGGTTCAGGGTCCCCAGCACCCACCTCCTCCTCCCCACAGGGTGAACGTGGGCTGCGGCCCGGCAGAGGAGAGAGTCCTTCTCACCGGCCTGCACGCCGTCGCAGACATCTACTGTGAGAACTGCAAAACCACGCTCGGCTGGAAATACGTGAGTAGCCGCCTTGTTCTGACACTTCAGAGACACTCAGACTTAACTCTCACAAACAAAACGTTTACACACGAAAACAAAATCTGCAGAGGCGTGAGATCACCCCCAACCCCCGCCCCCAGGAAGTGTGACCCTGTGGGTCAGAGGGTTCCTGCCTTGAAAGAATTCCTTTTGAGCTGTTTAAAGACATCAGGGCATGTGGCCCCACCCACAGGCCCCATGCTGGCTGGTGTCCCATGAAACACGGGAGGGCGGCTATTTCCACTCCCTGGGGGACGCTCACTGGCTGGCGGGGCCGGGACCGGGGAGGTCGCCTTGCAGTGGGGATCACAGCAGCCCCCCTGCCCTGCTGGGCGCCTTGTATGCCTAGCAGCGCCTTCTTCTCGTGGCACCTGTGCTGAGTGGCGCCCTCCCGCCCCATCTCCAGGCTAACCCTGGGCCTCCCTCTGCCCCACCCAAGCCTCTGCAGGCCCTGCGGCACCGAGGCCTGGCCTGTCTCTGCTCTCTGTGTGTTTGACTTTGGGAAGTCTCTCTTCACTCCCTATTCTCTCTGACCGCCACTCGTTTTGACCCCTTTTCTGTTGACAACTCCCTAACTTGTCCTTCTGCGCCAGCCCGTGCCCTGCACCCGTGCCCACGGCTGTCCCGGGCACACTCCCACCCGTTTGGGAGGCCCACGTGGTGAGGCCTTCCTGGTGGTTGTTGTCTTTTGCGGCCGCTCTGGTTTTCTTCATCAGGGCCACTTGCTCTCCCTCCTCAAGTTCTTGATTGTTGCTGGTGTCAGATGTAAGGGGACACGGTCCCCAGCACAGAGACAGGCTCGGTGAGGTCTGCGTGCTTCCCCAGGCCTTCGCCTGCTTGGCCCATTCCCCTCCCACCCCTGGGCGCTGCCCGAGGAAGGGCCTCCCTCCCTGCAGCCTCCTCGCGCTGTGCCTGGGGCTCTCGGTGAGTCCCCGCCGTCCCCTCCAGCTGCAGGCCCTGGGAGGAGCAGCGGTCCCGGCTGCGCCTCGCCCTGCCTCCCACGGTGCCTTGCACATGGTAGGTGCTCGGTAACAAATTTGAAATGGTATTTCCCTGTAAGTTTAACCATAACTCGATGACAAGCGTACAGTAGGCCTGCATCGCCCCCAATGGGCTTGTCACCTGCGACAGACCCCTCCCGGCCACGAGCTTGGTGCAGGGAACATCTGGGGAAGTCTCATTTTCTTTGCTCAGAGTATAATAAAGTTAAAAAATGAAACTGTTTGTCCTGAAACCTTCCCTATCTCTACTTCCCCCCCAAGGAACATGCGTTTGAGAGCAGTCAGAAATACAAGGAAGGAAAATTTATCATCGAGCTGGCCCACATGATCAAAGACAATGGTTGGGAGTGAAATGTGGCGTCCCTGTGTTCTTTCGGATGCCGTTTTGTGAAAGAGACTAATGTGATGGAAACATAAGAGCATCCTGGATGACAATATTTTCTTGAACTTGAACCTTGCGAGCCGGCCCCTCCTGGCCGTTCCCATGGGTGAGGCTCCATCCGGTCTATGTCCTCTTCATGTACATGGTCGTTTCTGAAGGATTTCTAATGTCCCAAGTGCTAGAGAAAGAATTAACCAACTGAGGACGTAGCTGTCTAGTTAATACCTTCTCTAACCAATGCCTTTAAGGTGGAGTTCGGCTGTGCTCTCCCGCACGTGAAACCAGACCGGTCTCTGCAGACCACAGGGGCGCGATCTCCTCAGAGAGCAGGGTCACCACTGTTGTTCAGCATGAAGGTTTTTTAGTCCACTGTTTTCATAATTTGCAAAATTACAAATTGGTTACTTTGCTTGCGAATGAGCTGTTAAGTCATAGTGTTCGTTTCAGAATTTTCCAGAAGCAGTTAACAAATCTATTGAGTACGTTTGTTTTTCAGCCTTGTTCGGAAACAGAGGGCTCCATTGATAGCATTTTAGATAAGTTATAGAGAAATGTGTCTAATGGAACGTCTCGTTTATTTAAGCCAATAGCTTTCTCATTTGGAAAGCAACTGAACTAGTCACTAGCAAAGGCTGTTCCAGGGGCCACAGTCCCAGACCCAGGGCTCCCGGGGCTTGCGTGGGAGTCGGGCCCACAGTGGCCAGTCTGTGGAGTAATAATAGTTCAACACACTGGACTGAGCGAATCAGATTTCCCTTCTACTCTGGTGTACTTGAAGAAAAATAATTATTTTTGCATATGAAAGAGGCCAGAACTAACAGGATAAACTTTCAAACTTTAGATTTGGTAGATTGTTTTAATGTTTTCAGAAAAGGTTAAAGTTGCAAGACAGGTGTAAACTTCGAAAATGAGATGTTTGGTTTGCTCGACGGGTCACCCTGCCTGGCCTGCTTCTCTCCCACGGGTGACACAAAAGGGACCTGGGCAGTCTCCCAAGCCCTGACTTCCCGCCCCCCATTGTGAGTTCCAGTCCACCCGTGCTACTGCGGGGCGTGGGCACGATGCAGGGGTTTGGGCCCATCTGCAGAAAATGGAGGCCAGACAACATTCCCAATTAAGTTTTACTTATTTACTGTTTGAACCTGAAAAGAGCCCAGGGGAGGCAGGGAGAAAGGAGAGTGCCGTCCCGATGTTTCTCAGCTGTGCGACGGCTCTGAAACTGCCTTCAGGTGAGCCTGGCCCACTGGCAGCGAGCTCGCACCCCTTCCCTGACCGCAGCCTCCCCTGAGCCCAGAGCCATGGCCCGTGCAGGCTCCGGGCTCCCCTGCCCGGTTCTGGTTCAGCCGCTCACCTGGAGCTTCCCTTTTGGCACCACCTCTGCCCAAGTCTCGAAGCCGCGCAACTCGGGGGGCGTTGCAGCCCCGGGCGCAGGGACATCGGGGCCTCTGACGCGCATCTTCGACCAGGAAGGAAGATCTTTGTACAGCTGTGGGGTCTCTGCACCAGCACCGGCTGCCGCTTCCCTGAACTGCTGTCCCGAGATCTAGGCTGCCCCGGCTCTTCCCGTGTGTTGTTCGGCCGTGCAGCCCTGAGGCCTCCAGGGTGCAGTCACTCCCATTGCTGCCAGGATCCGAAACCGGGAGACTTCTCACCGGTGCGCCGGCACATGAACTGCCAGGCACCAGCAGCTCTGTCCTCAGTGAGAATGCAAGGACACCTTCCTTGAGGAGTGAGTACTAACTATTGAAACCTTGGCCTAAACTGACACCCCTTCTTGGTCCAGTCCCTCTAGCGGGGGGGGGCCAGGGGAGCAGGGCAGGGGCCGTGACTCCGAGCGCGTCTCTGTGAGGTCTCCACTAAAGACTTTCTGCAGTTCTTCCGATCGGTTTCTGTATATACTAAACTTGTGTCTGAAGCTTTTATATGTTCTGGGCGAATTTCCGGCCCCTTCCGTGTGCGAACTTTGGTTTTAGTGCTGTGTCTCGTGATGGCACCGAACCCTTTTTACCAGTGCATTTGGGACATTTGTTTTCTTCTCCTTTTGTAACTGACACAGATACTCTTCACTTTTTTTGTCTTGTGCGGAATCCAAGCTCCTTTTGAAACCAAATGAACTGACCGTGAGCTGGCTTCAGGGAAGGACACCCGTGAAGCCACAGCTGGGCTGGTGAAGGGCTGGGATGTGCCACCCTCTTAAAATCCTCAACAGTGGTCATCGTCCCCTGACTTTTATTTATTTAAACTATTTCCCTTAAGAGTGGGAGGTGATGCCAAGATTATAAATGCATTTAACACAAAACTGTGCCGTGTCCTCCGGCACAGTACACTTGCTTTAGAAATGTGGTTTAGTTTTGTTGCCATTTTATATATACATAAATATAGTATTTTTGTACCTTAACACTTAATCTTGATGGCATCTGTCAGATATTATTAGCAAGGATCAGAAAAAGGAATTTTTCAGAAGTCCTTTAATTTACCTGATGACCTCACTGGGTACTTAAAAAATCCAAGTGGTTGTGTAATTTCTGGACGACAGCTTAAGCCCCAACACAATTTACAGAAACGCAAAGCCTCGCCCATCAAAGGTTCCGGGCCGGCCTGTCCTCCCGCTGTGGGGCGGTGCCGTGGGGCTGGCTGGCTGCGGCCCGGAGGTCCGCCCCTCGGGGCAGGGCTGCCGAGCCTGAGCACACAAGCCCCCTCGGCCTCCCTGTGTCCAGCCCTCGGTCCTCTGTGTCTGTGAGGTTTAAAAATAAAGCTCCCATGTCCAGCATCTCCTTTCCAGTAGCACATGTGTCTCGGTGCTCTGCTCTGACGCCGAGGGACCCGGCGTGGTGCTGTGCAGCTCCCAGCGAGCCTGCTCCCCTTCCCGGGGGCGCTTCCCAGCCTGCGTGCTCTCAAGAGCAGATATGGCCTCTTGGGGCACTTGCCGATGGGCTCACTGCCTTAGAGCCTGTGAGCAGGACCTGAGGAAAGCCTCACCACGTGGTTACAGGGCTTTGGCTAAGCGGCACTCAGCACTTGCTCCTCAACTGCAGCAGGGCTGGCTGCCTCCCCCAAGGAGTCCGGGTGTGCTGTACCCACACAGGTCCCACACCCCGCCACCCCACCTACCCTCTCTTCCTGTGTGAGCCAGGCTTTTGGAGCCAGTGCTGGTGCAGCCAGCCTCTCGCTAGTCTGTCTGTAGTCGGAGGGGGTCATGTCTGGTTGAAGTTGCAGAGGGGCTAGGCACTTGCTCTGCAGAGCCCAGGTCCCCTGTTGGGGGCGGGGGGCAGGCACAGAACTTGTTCTCAGCACAGGAGAGAGCTGGGCTCTGTCCTGAAGGGAGATGAGGCCAGTGAGCTCTGGGAAGGCAGCTCGGCACCCAGGTGGACGTGCACACGGGCCGACACCAAGGCTGGTGAGAGCCCTGGGACCTGGTGTTTGGTGTGAGAGCTGGGACAGAGCCAAGGTGCATTCTGGAAGTAAGCTGATGAGACTCACTGGTGGAATTGAGATTTTGGGTGAGGAGGGAAAAGAAAAACCAAGGGTGGAGCAGAGTTAGAGTTTCAGTGTGGTGCGCAGAATGGGGTGGTGACCTGTGCCCACAGGAGGGCGTGAGGTGAACAGTGACCGTTTCGGAGCCCCAGAGCTGGAGGAGACGTTGGCCTGGGAGGAGGCAGCTGTCACTACACTTCCACAGAGGCACTTCAAGAGAGCTGAGGTAGCAGGGTCAAGGTCAGCAGAATGGAAAGCAGGCTAGCAGAGGCTGCAGAGTGAACAGAAGACAAGAACGGGCAGGCAGGAGTCAGTTTTTTGAAGATATTTATAGGATCAGGGATCTTCAAGTTAGCAAATGCTGGTACAGCCGGCCGGACAGCCCTCAGAGCCGGGGCTGACGGTCAGTGTCGAGCACAAGGTGGGCCCTGAGGGTGGAGAAGAAGTTGGGGTGAGGGGAGCACTCCGGCTTGCTGGAGCCTTCTGCATGGCCATTGGGCGCGGCAGGAGCCAGCTGTCTTCACCCACGTGGTCCCATCACCATCCTGAGGCAGAACTTAGAGCCAGGCAGGCCAACGCAGGTGTGCCCAGCAGCCTGGGCTACGACCACCCATGGTCCTTGCTGGGGTAGGCACAACAAACCCAAGCAAGAGGTGGCAGAAAAGGTTTTTGGAAATAACATCAAGGTACTAGTCCAGGGTCCTCAAACCACCAGTGTCCAAACACAGACCTCAAAGCACCACCGTAGCCTCCAGGTCACAAGGCCCGGGGTCTGAGAATCTAACAAGGTTCCAGGTGATGCTGCTGGCTGGGGACCACATAGAGCCAACATCCCCAACAAGGTGACGGAAATGGGTGGTGGGGAGACAACTGGAGTCAGGAGACAACGGCCCTTCTTCCTAGGTCTGGTGGTCCAAGATGTGGCCTCTGGCGGGTCCCAGCCCTGCAAACAGGGCCAGGGTACGGCCCTGCGTGGGAGGTGAGGACACCTGTGGGCTCCTGGGACCAAGAAAGGAGACCCCAGCAAGAGCTTTACTGAGACGCAGCCCAAAGGGCAGGACCACGAGGGCAGAAACCTCAAGGACACAGCCCACAAGCCCCAGCGCTGCCTCCCTACCGGGATCCAGAGCAGCAGACCCACTGCTACCACGAGCTAAAGTCCGTGAAACCGCGGCTGGGCTTTTTCTTGGCCACAGGGACAGCTGCACTGGTTGATGGTTCCTCGTCTGCTACACGTTTCCTGGAAAGAGAAGAGCCAGACTCCAGCTGCTGTGGGGGCCAGTCCCCGAGGAGCAAGCCACGTGTCTCCACGACACCCCCACCCCGAGTGTGAGCCCTTCAGCCTGCCGGGGGCCTCCCAGCACCTGCTCGCCCTCAGCAGGCTACAGCTCATGGGGCGCACCGTGGGAACAGACACCACCTCCCACGGCACTCACGTGGCTGCAGGGCTGATGTACTTGCCCACCCCTTGGCGGTACGTCGGGGGGCCCTGGCTCCCCGACTTGGGCTGGCTCTTCGTCGCTGTGCTCTCTGGGGCCGCCTCCTCGAGCTGGGTCTTCCTCCGCTCCTCGGCGATCTGCAGTGGAGCACATTTGATGGCTGGCCCGCAGCCCCTTGGGCTGGACGGGGCTCCCCCAAGTCCTTCCCCACGTGGTGGCGACACCCTCCTCACCTGGACGTCCGCCTCCTCGAAGGGGTCCACGAACACCGTGGTGGAGTCGATGCGGATCTCCTCCTGCAGTCAAGTGGGGGGCCGGTGAGTAGGGCTGGCGGGAGGCAACGGGGCCCACGCCTGCCCAGCCAGTGGAGTGGCCCCTCTGTTCTCCCAGGGCACGTACCTTGGGACGGTCGGTTTTGGGGTCACTCTCCACATTCTCCATGGCTGTCAGTGTGTCAAAGCCCCCGACAACCCTGTAGCAGAGGGAGGCGGCCTCCTAATATGCCCAGCTCAGGGCACCCCCAAAGGCCAAGCCCTGGTGTGACGGGAAGAGGGGCTGGGAGTGGGTCTGGGCTGAGGCCCAAGGAGGCCCCACACACAAGGGCGCAGATGGACTGGATTCAGAAAGGCCCATGGGGCAGGGATGGGACCGCAGGCCAGGACAGCGGCAGCCTGAGAGGCAGGTCCAGCGCCCGCCACTGCTCCCACACCCCAGCCAGAGCCGAGGAGTGCAACAGAGACTGAGGCCACCCAGCTGGAAATACCCCAGGCCTTCACAGGGCAAGTCTGCTGACCCCGGGATGGGAGGATGCAGGAAAGGAGGTGGCTCAGACGGGTGACTCAGGATCGTCCAAAGGCGAACTGAGGGGCTGACTCTGAGGACGCCCACCAGTCAGGGCTGGAGCTGGCCTCTCGTTACCCAAGGTCCCCTGCCCAACAGAGAAGCCCCAAGTCCCCACTTATGCATGACCATGACCTTGGTAGGGACAGCCCTGGGAAGAGGCAGTGAGGCCCTGGCCAGCACAGGAGCCTGCCCTTGCTGACACCCCGCGCCTCACGCTTCTCTTACCGCCCGAAGATGGTGTGCTTCTTGTCCAGGTACGCACAGGAGCGGAAGGTGATGAAGCTGGGGGGGGACACGAGGGTCAGGAAGGGCATGGGAGCTCACCCTACCCCTGCCTGCCTTGTCCCCCAAGGCAGCTGGGCACGAGTTCCACCCTACAGGGGCTCCCGGGGAGAGGCCCAGGCCCCCAAGCTGTCCCAGCCCTGCCTTGCTTTCGCCCTGTGCCCGTGAAGCCGGGGTCGGCCGGTCACTGGACAAGGTGGGACCTCGGATGAGCGACCTCACTGCACCAGTCAGGGCAAGGCAGCCACTTAGCTGGAAGAATGAAGGGTTTCTCTGTAGGTGATGCACAAGTGGAGGAAAAGGAACTTGCTTTGTGCACACTCACATACAAAAATAACAAATAGGTAATACAAAGAGAAAACCTTCCTGCCTCCAAAAACAATTTAAGGCCTTCCAAAGTTTCCAGGAGGCCCTCTTAAGTACAGCTGAACACCAGAGACAGAGGTACTGGGATACAGAGTATTTTAAAATGTCATCTGGAATATAGATGACATCTGAAAAGATCTTAGCCAGAAAAATACAAACCACCTAACAAAAAGTAGAGTTTACAAAGTAGGAGCACAAGTAGGAGTTAGGAGCTTTTAAAAACTGTAAATATGCCCTGACTGGTGTAGCTCAGTGGATTGAGCACGGGCCTGTGAAGCAAAGGGTCCCTGGTTTGATTCCCAGTCAGGGCAGATGCCTGGGTTGCAGGCCAGGTCTCCAGTAGGGGACACATGAGAGGCAAACACACATTGATGTTTCTCTCCCGCTCTTTATCCTTCCCGTCCCCCCTCTAAAAATAAGTAGAATATTTTTTAAAAAATAGTTGGTATTCATGACTTAAAAAAAAACCGTAAATAATGAAACGCATAAACCCTAAAACTCCTAGGGAAGGATGACAAGGGCCAGCCAACTGAGAGAAACAGACCCCCAGCTGGACAGAGCCTTCCCCGCAACTTCCTCCCAAAAAGCTGGGCAGATGAACCCTATCAAACACCCCAGAAAGCCGCCCAAACACACCCAGTGGTGCCAGCCGGGGCCTGCTCAACTCCCAAACCAGCCTGCCTGCGACTCCTCGGAACCCAGTGAGGGTGACGGCAGCGCAGGAATAACCAGCAGTGAACAGAGTCCAGGATGAGACCCTGGCTCACACAGAGATGGAACACACACGTGACTGCGGAGCGGGGAGGGAAGATGCCAGGAGCCTCCCTCAGCCTCACGGGCACCCCTGCACCCACACCAGGGCCCGTCCAGCTGCCCCCCCATTCTTGCTCCTGGTGGGCCCCCACCCCGCCTTTACAGCTGCACTGAGGACCCCCGGGCCTGTACTTCTGGCCCACCTACGTCCTCTCAGCACCAACATGTAAACCCAGTAAGAACAGGGTGGGTGTCCCAGGCATCCGACACGGTGTTCAAAGCAGAATTCTCATCCCCTGAGTATCCGCATTGCCATAAATGCACCCCAGCAATGGCTGCTCAGGCCAGACCAGGATTCCAGCCCCTCCACACCCAGGCTGCCCTGCCCGGGCACCTGTGCCCGCACCCACATCCACTTCGTGGGGTGCCTGCTCCAGGAGGCCTTTCTGCATCTCCTGAGGACTCGGGCCACTCGGTCCCTCACAGGCAGGCGCCCTGGGGTGCAGTGCTGTCTGCTGACCTGCTCTGCATGGAAGTGCACACGCCGCAGTCAGCAGGTCTGAGCTGTGTCACCTGTGAGTGTCCACCTCCCCAGGGGTGCTGCACGCCTTGACTGGATTCGGGTTGAGCACAACCTTCGGGGCAAGGCTGAGGGGTACCCTCCAGGGAGGCGGCTCCTCCCCAGGCCCATCCCCAGACACCCAGCCACTCACAACTGAGACTTGTTGGTGTTGGGCCCCGAGTTGGCCATGCTGAGGATGCCACGGCCCGTGTGCGAGAGGTTGGGCCGGAACTCGTCTCGGAAGGGTTTTCCCCAGAACGACTCCCCACCTGGAACAGAAAGGAGTGCGGCTGGCAGCGAGGACCACCGGGCCCTAGCTGGGTGCAGGCAGCAGGGTGCCGCTGGCTCCAGAAACCTATGCTGGGTCTCAAGGGGCACTGGGCCCTTGGGGGGTGGCCCTGGCCCTGAAGACGGGGTGAAGGCCACACGTTACTGCTCACCCACGTGGGTGAGGGAGTGGGCCTGAGCCCGAGCAGCTGAGGGGGGCTTTGGGAGGCAGTGGGAGGACAGCCAGACGTCTGGCAGGGGGCGCAACCTCCCTCTGCTGTGGGCTCCCTGAAGCATCCCTTGGCCCTCTGAGCAAGGTGGGTGCCCCAGAGCCCTGTGGAGGCAACACACTCCCAATTCCACCCACCGTTCAGGCCGTGTGGCCGTTTCAGAACGAGAGAACAGGGACTTGCCTGGGGTCTCGCAGCGCCCTGCTGGCTGGTCCACGTGTCCACATCTGGAACTCAGTCCTGCCCCACCCACCTACCCCCTCTTGGCCTTTGGGGCAGCCACAGCTGCCTAGGGAGCCCCCACTCCGGTACCTACCTGTGCCCGTGCCAGTGGGGTCACCCCCCTGGATCTGCAGGAAGAACAAAGCCAGTGAGAAGTCGTGCCCTGTGACCCCTCGGCCCTGCCGGCCCTTTGGCAGCTGCCCACTGTCCACTGGCGGAAGCAGTTCCCCTCCTGCCAGATGGGCCCCAAGGGGTCTGAGCTCCTGGCCCCATCTGCACAAGCCCCGAGTGGCCAGGCAGGATACTCAAGGGGCAGGCTCCCTGCCCCATGCCCAGGGAGAAGAGGCTCCCGCCTGCGACAGAAGTCCCCTCTGGGGCCCATGCCACTCACCACAAAGTTCCTAATGGACCTATGGAAGACAGTGCCGTCGTAATACTGCTTCTTGCAGAGCCTGATGAAGTTTTCACAGGTTTTTGGTGTCTGCAAAATAGCCCAGACACTTCTGTGAGGCATGAAGCAGCCGAGGGAGGGTCACAAATGCCACCCAAGCCCCGATCGTGCAGCAGGGAGGGTCAGCTGCGCCGGGTGCCACGGTAAGCACCCATGACGCTGAACGACAAGAAACTTGTAGCCGCCACGCCCAAGAGCAAGGGCCGTGGGGCAGTGGGTGTGAGTCCAGTGTAGGTTGGCCACCCAGACTCCAGGGGAAGGAAACAGCCCGTGGCTGGCAGGGTCGCTCCTGAGGGTGAGGTGTGGGCTCCGCGCCCTCTAGAGGACATGGTGATTACTACAAGCACATCCTAAGTGCAGCTCCAAGTTTAAGGCCCTGGAAACTACACTGGGTGGAGCAGAGGACGGCGGCCACACCCACCATGTCACAGTGCAGCTCCAGGTTGAGGTCGCCCTTGCTGGTGTGCAGCCGCACGTAGCCCTTCTTCTTCACAAACTGGTACCGCAGCACGTCCTCCTCAATGGCGGCTGCGAGCAGAGGCGGAGCTCTGTGCCCTCCCTCAGCCGAAGACAGCCACACCCCCTCCCAGGAGGGTTGAACTCGGGCCCCAGCCCCAGGGGAGCCCAGGGTCCGCCCAGGCTCGGGAGCTACAGCAGGGGTGCTGGGAAGGCGCAGCCAGGGTGGGAGGGGCGTGCAGAGGGGTGGGAGCGGGGAAGGGAGTGGGGGACCTGACAGGCCTAAAACCCAAGGGCCTGAGGACGGTGACAACAGCAACCTCAGTGTAGGGCTAAGGTGCCATGGGCAGCCTGGGAGGAGGCCAGAGTGGGGGGCCCAGGAAGCAGGACGTGGCCCAGGGAGGGCCTCCTGCCCCTGGCCCAGCCCTTGCTATGGCCGCCCCACCGCAGACACGAACACAGCTCGAAAAGGACCCGTCCCCCTTGACTTTCTGAGCTGCCTAAGAGCCCACAAAGCCCAGACACGACGCATCGGTGTGAGGATGCAGGGCACCCGCCTGGGCGGCCATTAAGCAGCAGCCCTGGCGATGGAGGGGCGGAGGCAGCTACCTGCTTCATGTGTGGTCTCAGGCACCATGGCAGTGGAGGTGAAGGAGGCGCTAACCTTCCCGGTGGAGTAGTGGGCCTGCCAAGAGAACCACGTAGGCACGTCAGCAGTGCCCTGGGAGGCTAGGAGGCTGGGGACGTGGGGCCCAGCTGTCCCCATGCTCAGGCCCCTACTTGACACCTCCCATCCTTGACCACCACCCAAAGACATCACCAGGAACTTCCTTGGGGACAGGACAGCTCAGCCCAAACTGGCTTTCCCCAGGGCCCCAAGGAACGAGGGAGTCTAGTTTCTTTTTGAAAATTTTCAGTTTCTACAATTAAACACATTACATTTTTAATCATGAACGTGAGCCATAGAAATATTTCCTCATCCTTGGCAGAGGGAAAAAGAGGGGTCCCTCCCTATCAGAAGGAAGTACCCCAAAATGCTAAGAGCTCTTGTGTTAGGAGTGGTGGAGTGAAGAACAAGCACCTTTCTTCCTTTTGCAAATTTTCCTGAATCCTTTTCTAAGGGAGCCTCGGAGCCTGGCTGCCCGGCCCCACAGCCCCAGCTTGCCAGGCTGAGGTGGGGAAGGGCCAGCTCTGGGCCTGACAGACCAAGGCACGGACACAGGCGCCACCGCTGCTGACTGAGGGCACCCCCAGGGCAGTGATGGCCACCTGGACACTGCCGATGGCCAGGGATGGGTGTGGAAACAGCTCAGAGAGGGCTCCCCCTCAACGAGAGGCCCACACACCTGCAGTCTGAACCCTCTGCTGGTGCCCAGAGGACAACCCATGTAGAAACCAGGGCCTCCCCTCCCACACCCACCCACCAGTCCATTATCTGCCCCTCTTGGGGATTTCAAGAACTGGGGGGCTCAGGACTCCTCAAGGCCAACTACTGGGCACTGTGAGAAGTGAGCCTGACTGCCCAGGAGGGGCAGCCACCAAGCACCACTGTCCCCTCCCCTCAGCACCACGGCAGCCCTGAAACGCCCCACCATCTGTCCCTGGTTTTGCTCTGGGCACCACGTGACCAGCTGTGTAAGACGATGACTCCACACCCACAGGACATCCCCTCCCACAGACCTGCCAGCCTGAGGCCACTGTGTCATGCAGTACCACAAAGCCACCTGGCCGCTAGCCACCTAGGACGTCTGTCCCAGGCTCCCCAGCCTGGGCCAGAGCATTGTGCAGACCCCTCACGGCTGGGGGCCGCCTTCCTTCCCTGCGAGGACCCAGCACACCCGCGCCACCCTGGCCGCCTCGGTGCAGCTGTCCCCTGGGCCCCAAGGGCACCTCGGCTCTGGGGTCCAGCTGCTTCCCCTCCAAATGTACCCCACTCCGAGGGGCTATGACAGCGGGGTGCGTGAGCTGGCAGCTCCGTGGCCACCCCCTACTCACGGCATTCAGCTTGTCCACCTTCTTCTTCTCTGGGGCTTTCATGGTGGCCGCCAGGACCTCGTCGCCTCTGAACTCCTTGTAGAGCTCCAGCAGCGTCTCCCGGGTCTCGGTATTTGTGTTTTTCAAATAATAAGACGGGTCCTGCTTGGCCTTTTCTTCATCTGCAGAACAGCAAGGCAACCTGAGCACTGAGCTCCCAGGGATGTCCCCAGATGCACGTGACAAGGACAAGAGGCCAGAAGTGGAGGTACCGGCAGAAGCCCAGACCAGAACACAGGCTACACCTCCATCCCAGTGACACTCCAGTCGCGACAAACCCAGGAAGGCGCATACAGGGAGAGGAGGGAACAGCCCAGAAGGGCGGCAGATTGCCCACCGAGGCTTCTGCAGGAGCTGGCTTTGGTCTGTGTCCCCAGGCCGGCCTTGACCCCAACGGTGTTCAGAAACAGCCCCCGTGGTGGCGCCTGGCCAGCTGAGCAGTCTCCACACTCACCAGCCCCCACAGGACCCACAGCCTGCCTGACCCCCCCCCCCCCACAGTGACAACAGGAACAGTCTCCAGGGAGAAAAGGCAGGGCCCCATCTGGGACCTGAGGGCCTGGACACAGAAGCAGCCCCAAGGGGTCCATGGAGCAGTCTGGAGTGGGGAGGACAGGTGTCCAGGCCTGTCCCGCACAAGGCCGTGGGCACTAAGGCGTAAGGGCCCAGCTGGCACCCTCTACATCAAGCCCCCTAAGGGCAGCGTGGGCCAGGGCCATCCCACCAGTCTCTGCACAGGAGAAGCTGAACCTCAACTTGGGAAATGCCAGGCCTGTCTCGGCTTGATCGTGACTCTGGCCCCGGGGGCAGAGGCCCTGCCCAGGGAGCTCTCTCCCATTTGCCCCCAACCCCCGGCACCCAGACCACCCCTGGCTCTTCATACCTGGGTCTGTTATTTTCATGTTATTCTTAACGTGAAAGAAGTTGGAGACGTTGAATTTGTCCAAATTGGTGGGGTCCTGTGGCAAAAGGAACATGTGCAGCAGAGCGCCCAGCACTGCGCCAGGCCCCAGGCTGTGGCCCCATGGCCGCCCCTGCTGCAAAGGAGGGCTGGGTGGCACGAGGGTCCTGCGCCAGGAGGGGAGGCGCTGGGGCTGCAAGGAGACCTGGTGGGTCGAGTGTGGAACAGGGGCGCCAGGACTGGGAGACGGCTCCGCGCCAGGCAGGGCGGCGGCGGGGGTGGGGTGGAGACTGGCTCAGATGGCTGGCCGCTCACCAAACCGCAGCCGCTTCTCTGGCACACAGCTGACAGCGTCCCTTGCTGTTAGGCAGCCACAGGACAGATGGAGTCTTCCCGGGGGAACGTGGGCAGACCCCGCACACCCACCCCCAGGCCTCCTGCAGGCTGGCCCACACCCCCTCTTCGGCCTGGCAGCCAGACACGACCCCACAGGTTCTCAGGCCAGCCAGCCCACCTCCATGGGGGGAATGTATACTAACCTCCAATTAGAATGGGACAAGCCACGAAAGGACTGTCCCTGTGTAAGTTACTCTTGGATTTTCTACATACAAGCTTTTATTACCTCACCCAGGGTTCTCTGACACCTCCAGGGGTGTCCTGTGCCCAACACTGGGGTACAGAGCACACACCCGCTCCCACTCCCAAGAGGGAGGGAGGAGAGCCAGGCAGGCAAAGAGGCCACTCAGACGCCGAGATGGCTCTGGGGACGGGCCGAGGAGGAGATGCGAGGGCCAGGCTGGGGACGGGCCTGGGCGCAGGCCGGTGCGACCGAGTGGAAGGAGGCGGGAGCACTGTTGGCAGCAGCTGGGGCACCGCAACCAGACAGGTGGCAGAGAGGAAGCCCCCAAGGCTGGGTGGAGAGGTGGGGCTGGCCGAGGGAAGCAGAGCCAAGGCTCCCAGGCGGTCCCTCCTGAGAACAACAGGGGGGAGGGACACCCACCTGGAGGGTGATGATGTCCTGGCGGGAGAAGGGCTCGTCGGTCAGCAGGTCTCGGAAATTCTTGGCCTTGATATTCAGCTGCTCCACGGCCTGCAGTCGGGAGGAAGGCAGCTGTGATGGTGCTTGTCCCCAGCCCGGTGCTGGGAGCCTACAACCCGCCCAGACGATGGCACTGCTCCAGCACGAAGACAAAGGGCAGGACGACCCTGTGCCCACCTCGAGCTCACAGCCACGGCCCTGCCACCGAGGGGACGCTTGCTGAGCCCCAGAAACCCGAATTCAGCACCCCCAAGCAAGGGTCCTCACAGGGCGCTCTGTGACACACACCTCCACATCAGCAGACAGGCTCACCAAGCAGCCGTCTGTACCAAGTCCCCCACATCCATGCACACTAGGGCAAGGTGTCACCCCCAGGGACCCTAGGGCAGTGATGGCCACCTGGACACAGCCAATGGCCAGGCCCACACACCTGCAGTCTGAACCCTCTGCTGGTGCCGAGGATGACCAATGTAGAAACCAGGGCCTCGCCTCCCACCCCCACCCACCAGTCCATTATCTGCCCCTCTTGGGGATTTCAAGAACTGGGGAGCTCAGGACTCCTCTCAAAGCCCTGGAGTCTGCCCTCAGAGCACAGAGTCCCTCCCAGGGCCTGAGCCTTCCCTGAAGATGACTGTGGGGAGGACCCCTGGGTACAAAAAAACTACCCAGTTTTTGGGTCAGAGGCCATAGTAGGCCCTGCCTTTTCTGGGCTGTTCTGGCAGCCCCACAGGGACACGCTGTGCCCAGAGCGAGTCCAGAGCCCCAGGGTCCCAGGAGCACACACCTGGAGTGCCCAGACACGCCACAGTTCCTGAAAACCTACCTCATAGGCATAGACATTGCCGGTGGTCCTGACCGCCACGATGTGGCTGTTGTTGGTGAACACGGTGAACAGCACCGGGCAGTGGTACTTTCCTGGGGAGAGGCGTGCACAGGCAGACCAGTCAGAGAAAGGCGGAGGGCAGAACCGGCATCAGCACACCCAGACGGGCCCGGAGGCGCAGCCAGCCGCTCCAGCCCTTTTCCAGCGCCACCGGGAAACTCCTGTTCATCCCGCAAAGCCCAGGCCCCTCGTGCCCTTCCCCAGAGGCGTCTGCTCCACCAGCCCCCGGCCTCCTCCCCCACCTCAGGCTCCCCCCCAGTCGCTCACCCTGGCGCGGGGACACTGCGGCAAACCCCTGCTGCTCCCTGCCCGAGCCCACCGCCTCCCTACAGCCAGAGCCTGTGCAAATAAGCCCCAACGAACAAAACGCAAAGAGGGGAACACAGATTGTTAGACTGAGAGACGTCACACATTTGTGTGGACTTTTAAATCATGTTGGTTTGAAAACTACATAAAAATCATTATGAAAGCATTCTAGAAACTTGACCACTGGCTGGACAGTTAATGATATTAAGGAATGCCTGTTAATTTTTTTAGGTGTATGAGTAGGATTGTGATGATTATTTTTTAAGCCCTCACCTTTAAAAAAAATTTATTTATTTTTAGAAAGAGGGACAGAGGGAGAAAAAGAGGGAGAGAAACATGGATGTGAGAGAGAAACACCCATCAGCTGCCTCTCCTACGTGCCCCAACGGGGACCGAACCTGCAACAAAGGCATGTGCCCTGCCGGGAATCGAACTAGCAACCTTTTCCTTTGTAGGACAATGCCCGACGCACTGAGAAACACTGGTCAGGGCTAAGTCCTTACTTTTAGAGACACACACCGAAGTATTTACGATGAAATGATACAATGTCAGCATCTGCTTTAAAATCACCTAAGCTGGTCCGGAGTGGGAGCACAGATCAAACCAGACAGCTGAGTAGACAGGAACTGAAGCTGGGTGGTGGAGGCCCACACGCAACACCACCTACTCTCATGTGTCCAAAATTTTCTTTTTCTTTTTTTAAAGATTTTATTTATTTACATTTCAACAGAGGGAAGGAGAAAGAGAGAGAAACATCAATGTGTGGTTGCCTCTTGCATGCCCCCCACAGGGGACCTGGCCCACAACCCAGGCACATGCCCTGACTGGGAATCAAACCAGCGACCCTTTGGTTCACAAGCCGGCACTCCATCCAGTGAGCCACACCAACCAGGACTGAGATTGTCAATTAAAAACAAAACAAAGCAAAATACAAAAACAAAAAAAGGCGACTGCTAGGCCAAAGATGTTAATGGACAAAAATCAGGACAGATCCTGTTTCCTCTCTGGCTCCCACCCGAGCCCTCCAGGGGCCACCCAGGCCCCACGGGACTGCTCCGCACCCTGTTCCCCTGCCCCCGACCCCTCTGACTGCAGCCTCTGCTACACCCCTCAACACACTGGTCCAGCAGCACTGGACGCCTGGCTGTGCCCAGACTCGCCTCAGGGCCTTTGCACTGGCTGTACCCTCTGCCTGGAATGCTCCCTCCCTCCTTCCCATAGATTTCCACTCAAACTCTGTCCATGAGTCTTCCTATGACCTTCTCTCTCCTCACCCTGCTTTACTTTGGCCCCTGGCTGAAGCAGCATCTGCCACACTACAGTGATGTGCTGTCCAGCTTCCTCCCTGACTGTATCGTCAGCTCCTTTCATTCCAGGACAGACTTGGCCTGTTCTGCTCTCTACACGTGGCAGGCATGCAGTAGGTATTTGCTGAACGAGACAGACTGAGGGCCTCCCCAAATCAGCTGACCTCCAAACAGGGAAGCCCACAGCACTCGGCTGCCAGGGCTGGCGGAGCTCCCTGACGCCCGGGGACTGTCCCTGAAGCGTTGTGTTTCTGTCTCGACGAGGCCCGTCAGACGGGCCCCGGCCTCAGGTGCTTTGGTGTCTCCCTAGAATGCACACACCCAGTGAACATGGACACCAGCCTTGACCAGGGTCTGCACAGGCCAAGAGGACCATGCCAGGCCCACAGAGAGCTGAGAGCAAGGTCAGTGCCCCTGGGGGTTGCCTCAGCTAGGGCATCTGGCCAATGACAGGGTGTGCCGGGATATCAAGCAGAAAGACCCGGCTGGGCTCGTGCTTTACGCCCAGTGGTGTGGAGAAGCCCAGCACAAGAGTCACCCTGCCATTCCTTCAGACCCCCCACGCCCACCACCCAGCCGCCTGCCCTGGGCCTCTCAGCCTCTGCAGCTTCTGCCTCCAGCCACAAGCAGACCAGAGCCACGCAGCCGACCTGTGCTCCCACCTGTGCTCACAAAGGCCACCAGAGGTCCACATGGCCCAACCGCCTTAGTGGGAAGAAATAACCAAAACCCAAGGTTGCATCCCTCCACCTCAGCTTTAAAAACTACCCAGACCCCTCAGAAAGAATCATGTTACATCTCTGAGAAATTAAGAGCAAGAACTGGCTGACCAGAGAGGAACAACTGGTCAGCAGAGACCTGGTGAGAGGCGAGGGCTGCGCCCTGCGGGCCAGCCCGTGAGTTGGCTGTAAAAGAGATCCCTTACCTTCTTTATTCTTTGTGAAGTTCAGCTTGATCAGGGACCGCCCGTCCAGTTTCTGAAAGAAGCGGAACTCATAATTAATAATGAAGAACAGTGGCTGACACGAAGGCTGATAATGCGGCAGCGGGTGGCGCAGGCGGGAGGACCCTCGGACGGCCGAGCCTTCACCGCGGGAACGGGCCGGGTGCTGACCGGGGGCCCAGGACGCAGCACGTAAGCCAGACAGGGGGCTGCACAGCGGAACCCAGCCTCTGAGCCGGCAAACCAACCCCAAGCCCAGGGGCCGACGCCCAGCCTGGAGGCCGAGGGGGAGTTCCGTAGCAAGCACTGACTATTTCTGAAATTAAAATGCCAGTGTATTTCTTCAGCTGGGTGGTGTTCACCTTATTCTTCTGTTGTATAAACTATTTAAGAAAGACAACCCATTAAAAAAAGGGGGGGGGAATATACCCAAATGCTGGGAGAAACTGTGATGGGACCCTCTACCTCTAATGTCTCCGTGTGTGTGCGGTCTGCCTCTCCTAGAGGAAACTTCACAGTGCAACCGAGTCCGAGCAGCCAGAGGAAAGCGGCAGCCCTGGTGAGAAGGCCAGCGGCGGTGAAGGGGGCTGTGGAGAGGCCCTGGAGCAGGGAGGCAGAGCTGCCCGCCGGGAGCACCTGACTCAGGGTCCACGTCCCTGTAGCCACTGCTACTCAGGAGCCCAGCCCTACCGACCCGGAACCCAAAGGGGTCACTGGGTGGGCGTCCCGGGGCTGGGCCCCTGAGCCAAGCCCCACCCTGCATCCTCCCTCCCCTGCAGTGGCCTGCCCTCCACCCCAAACCTGGCTTCTTCATCCCTTCCTCTTCCGTTCAGCCCCTACACGTCTGTGCGGGTAAGCCTCGACCCAGGACGGACGGCGGGGCCCCTGCCCCCAGGCTGCTCCCATAAGACAGCCCTCCTCCTTCAGGCGAAGGCACCCTGGGCACAGGACCACACAGAGACACCCCACAAACACAATGTGCTTGTCCTGGGGCCCTGAGAAGTGACGTGGGGCCAAGCCAGCCAGGGGCCAGCTGCCCTTCATCATTCTGGACGCGGCAGGAGGCTGAGTCCAGGGCAACAAACACGTCTTGGAGACCCCTGAAGAGCAACTGTGGGGGAGACCCAAAATAACAAAAATGCCCCAGACACAAGCAAATGGTGGTGCTCCCTGGGGAAGAGACAGAGGACATGAGGACCGGTGTGGACAAGAAAATACAGGGGAGCCCTGGCTGGTGTACTTAGTGGACTGAGCACTGGAGATGAAGGAAGGAAGGGAGGGGAGGGGGGAGGGGAGGGAAGGAAACCTGGGGGAGCTGGGGGCGGGGTGGGGGGGGCAGAGCAGGGCCTGAAAACCACCAGAAGAAGCAAAGGACAGACCCTCGGCGGCAGAGGAGCCCCAGCCTGGACACCGGCTGCTCCAGTGGCAGGCAGGGCCTCCGTGCCTGGGAGGGCAACACGCCCTGAGAATGAGCCAATCGCCCAGGGCCCAGGGCCCAGGCCGGCAGCACGATCCCTGCTGGAGGCCCCTGGAAGGCGGCAGTGGCTCCCGGGCAGATCTCACTGATGGTCACACTTTCAGTGACAAAAATAAAAAATGAAAAAGAAGAGCACAGCAGACACAGGAAAGAAAGGGCTCTCCTTGGGAAGGAGCACCCTCCCCGACCACCCGAAAGAGAAATGCCACAGGCCTTCGGCGGCGGCTCCCAGAACACCTCCCAGCGCCCCCGACCTGACCCAAAGGGCCCTCAGAACCTACGCCTTCCCCTCCCAGAACGTCCCTGGGCCCCAGGTGTGCGGGCAGCACACAGAAAATAGGTAACAAGAGCACAGCTAGGTAAAGGCCAAACTAGGGACACTTCACCAGCCCTAGGCTGGCAAGCAGGACACTGTTCACCTCACTACCCTCCCTCCCTCCCCATCAAGCCTCACGACACCCAGTCCTCTCGGGCCTCCCTGAAGACATCTGACAATGACAACGGTGACCTCCAAGGTCTGTGTCACAGACCTCAGGCCTTACCAGGCCTCACCCAGCCCAGTGCCTTCCCGGTCAGGCCGGGGCCTCAACCTGACACACAGACTTTAATACAGCGTCCGTCCAGCCCCACGGTGCGAGTGCCCACACTGCTGGCCGTCCCCCTCCACAGGCCACGCTATAGTCAGGCTGGCCTCTCAGCCCCAAACACCGCCCTAGACACCCTGGCAGAGCCACCGTGTCCCCCAAGGCCACCCAGAAGTCCCACCCTCCCTGGGCGCCCTCCTCATCCCACCTCCAGCCCAACTGCCTGCCCCCACTCCATGCACCCACTTCCCTCGGCTCCCTGCGGCGCTGGTTCTGAGGGATCCACCTTCCTGCCACACCCCACCAGCCTGGAACCCAGGCACAAGCTGGATCACCTGGTTCCACTTGCCTGCCCCTGGTACAGGCCGTGCTAACTGACCTGGTCTTCCTAACACATGACTGCACTAAGAAGGTGCACCTGCGCTCTCCCTGGCCCAGGGAGATGCAGTGTCTCAGTGAGTCCTGTTAGTCCCGCCAGTCCAACCTCCACAGCAATCTCGGGTCCAGCCTCTCTGTTCTACTTCCCTGGCCTCCATGCTGGTCCAAGTTCACCTAGCACCTCTTGCCCAGACAAGTGCACGGCCCTCAGGCTGCTTTCTCAGCGTCCACCCTCACCTCCCCAGTCTGTTCCGCACACAGCAGCCAAAGTGAGCCTTTAAAACAAAGGCAGCCACACTGGCTGGTATGGCTCAGTGGATTGCGTGCTGGCCTATGAACCAAAAGGTTACTGGTTCGATTCCCAGTCAGGGCACACGCCTGGGTTGCAGGCCAGCTCCCCAGTGGGGACGTGCAAGAGGCAACCAGTGGATGTGTCTCTCACACAGTGATGTTTCTCTCGCTCTCCCCCTCCCTTTCCATCTCTCTAAAATAAATAAATCTTTTTGAGAAATAAATCAAGCACAGGCCAGATCACAACATATGCCTGGCTTCTAGCCCACCCAGGACAAACCCAGCTCCCTCCAAGGCCGTCGAAGTTCCCAGACGTGGGCCTATCTGCCCCCATGTCCCGTTGTCCTGGTTTAAACGGCACTGCTCCGTGCTCCGGAGACACTCCCTCCTCTCTCCCCGCCCTCCCTCCTCTCATCCCGCCCTCCCCTGCAGGCATCTGTGCCTCCCACCGCCTCTGCGCTGCTCCCAGCTCCAGCCCCGCACACGCCACGGGCTAACACCTGCTGCTAAAAGAAGGAAACTGGATAAACAAAGAAATGGGCGCCAGCTGCAGCATGGGGAATGCAAGAGATGAAGGGACCAGGAGAACAGAGAGGGTGACTGGGCCGTGGACACGGCGTGTCCTTTACATGGTAAAGGCCTGCAGTGGGTGCGGCGACAGAGAACAAGCTGGCATTGACCCTGGGGCGTCTCTTCCAGGCACACGGAATTCCTGACAGTGGGCCTGCGTACAGGACACATTAGAAGCCACCTAACCCACCTCACAATAAAAATACCAATTAAAAAGATTTTCGCCCCTATGTAGCAAAGAAGTCAAAGAAACAGATGCTATCCAACGGGAAATAGGCATTTTCTTCCCCACACTGCTGTTCGGAGTTTGAAATGGTGCAACTTCCAAAGGAAATTTGCCAGTAGCTGCCAGAACAGAAAACGCGCCCACCTGTGACCCAGCACTCCCAGCACGACGCTCGTGCGTGCCCAGAGAGGCGAGCACAAGCATGTTCCCCGACCACTGCTCCAAACAGCAGGGGACTCCAAACCCCTCCAGTGCCCCCGGGCGAGGGCACACAGCCACCGGAGGGCGAGGCTTTACGCACCGACACGCTCGGATCCCCCACACTGCAGGACGCTAAAGCAAAGTCCAGAGGAATTCCTGCACGTGATCACGCCCTCGGCCCAAGGGAAGATGCAGGCCACGCACTCGTGTGTGCACGTAAGAAACCTTTCCAGAAAGGAATGGGTGCAGAGAGAAACGGTCCCCTCACCGTGCCCCACGAATGGTCCTCTGCCACTCCTGTGTGTGCACGAAAACCACAGAACCAGAGGACAGGCAACGGGACGCACCCACCCACCTCACCCGAACTCCGGCACGAGCCCTACCTCGCCGTTGCTGGGGTTGGTCCCGTACTTCTTAAGCCAAGGGAGGATGTTCCTGAAGGGTAGAGAACAGACAGCATCAGGTGATGGGCAAGGCAGCACAGTCCCGGAGGCTGCTTCTGGGGACGGCTGGGGAGGGCGCTGCTCCACTTCGCTTCTGCGGGGAGGCCAGGAAAGGCGCGCCTCACCTCATCAAAGGAAGCGGAGGGCATTTCTGGAAGCATGGTTTCAAAGTATGTTCGGGTTTTTATTACAGTTACATATAAATAACACAAGCTAGCAAAATAAGATGTACACAAATGTTGATATATCCATAAAATGAGATAATGGACCAACATCAAACTTTTAACCTCCAGAGAATTTTGAATTACATGGGGGGAAAAGCTCTCATCATGGCTGAATAAAGAATGGATCCCACCTGGCTGGTGTGGCTCAGTGAATTGAAGCGGGGCTGTGAGCCAAAGGGTCACAGGTGCGATTCCCAGTCAGGGCACCTGCCTGGGTTGCGGGCCAGGTCCCCAGTAGGGGGCGCATGAGAGGCAACCACACATGGATGTTTCCCTCCCTCTCATTCTCCCTTTCTCTCTAAAAATAAATAAATAAAATCTTTAAAAATAGAAAAGAAAGAATGTATCCAGAGTTATCTTCATGGCATTAACTCAACCATGTTACCACCAATAAACTCACAGAAAAAGGTTAAGTATAAATACTGGAGTGGTTATCCCAGATAGTGTGATTACGGTAAATTTTCCCTTTGAGATATTTTCCAATTTTTCTAAAATAAGTCTGAAACGTGAGATAATTATATAAGCTGGCTTATGTTGGAACACAAAACAGAGCATCATGCTTCAAAATACAGCACCAGAAAAGTATGCACCCTAATTATGACTCATTAAGTGAAAAATATCTAGTTCACTAACATTCCAAAACAAGAACACAAGTGCCAATTAGAACACTAGGGCCCACCTGGGGGAAAGTCAGTACCACTCCAAAAAGAAACACTAGCACCTGCTAGCAAAGCTGCCTGCCAGGGGACACAGCAGCCCTGTGGCTTCATCTCTAAGGCCCTGACAGTCCCTCCTGGGTCCCCAAGAGGCCCCCCCAGGGCTCCCGAGGCTGCCAGGACCTCAGCGTGGCCTGGCCTGGCATTGCCTGGAACCATAAACCCTCCAGCTGGTTCCACATCCCCTTCCTGAGTAGATGTCACCGATCTCACCCTGATTGTTAGCTCAAAAGTCGAGAGAGAACTCACAGCAAGTCGAAGACGACGCCTTCAGGGGTGCAGACTGGGTAGCTGAAGGGCTGCAGGGAGAGACTGAGAAAGGCCATGGTCACTCCGGGTCATGCAGTGGACTAGCCAGGCCACTGCCACGTGCCTCCTGTGATTTGTCCCTCTGCCCCTCCCTCCTCCAGCCAGTCCTCCAACAAATCCCTGCACAGCCTGGGTTGGGTGCCAACAGAGAGGGGACCCCCACATCCCTGCCCCTCAGCAGCACCCAGCACAAACCAGTAAGTACAAGGCAAGGGTCCCAGGAGGTGGTGAGGGGGCTTAGGAACAACCGCAGCCTGATCCTCTCCACACCCTGCGCTGTGATATACAATGCACAGGGGATCATGGTCAGTCCCCAGAGAGGACCCCAGAGGTGGCCTGGGACAGGTAGGACTGGAGAAGACCCTCTGACACCTCACACGGCAAGCACAGGCAGGCCAGTTTTGTGCTAAGAACTGCCCTCGCCCATCCCAAGAAACTCTGGTGGGGCTTCTGCCCACAGTCCTCCCCACACGTCCCAGGGGCAGACACATGACTCAGGCAAGACCTGAGGGCCCAGGAGCCCGGGATAAATTCTAACACATGGGTGTGGGGGCACAGGGACCTACAGAGGCCCAGACTACCACAGGTCATTCGCCTCCTCATGAAGGGTCTCCTTAAGAAAAGCAGAGAACTTCCGCCAAGATGGAGGCATAGGTGGATAAGCCGTACCTTCTCACACAACCAAGTTTAGAGACGACTAAATATTAGCAACAGAAAACACAGCCAGAACACAGAAAATTGAACTTTTCGGAAGCCCGTTAACAACAAATTCTTCAGCCTGACCGGTAAGGGGCGAAACCAGCGGCTGGTGAAGCGGGATTGCACAGGAGGACTCGGTCAGCCGGACTCAGGCGCGGAATCCAGACGCGCGGAATCCAGGCGCAGGGTTGGACCTGGTGAGCAACCGAGCAAGCCACCAGGCGAGCGACCGCGGGGGAGACAGCGGGGGTGCGGTGCTGCGTGTTGACTGTGGTCGCGCATTTGTGCGCGGGCGGACAGGCGAGGGAGTGGGCGGTTGGACCGGAGCCCGGTGGGTCCCCGCGGCAAGCGGCAGTGGAGGGCGCTGCCATTTCCCTGCTCTGACCCCACCTCCACATACAGCATCATAACCCAGCGACTCTGAGTGGCCCAGCCCTGGTGAACCACCTAAGCCTCTGCTCCTCACCCAGCTGCGAGAAACAGCAGAGGGGGTCGCCATTTTCCCGCTCTGACCACGCCCCCACATACAGCGTCACAACCTAGCGACCTGGGAGTCCAAGGCGCCGCTTCTCACACTTAAAGGGCCAGAACAGACCAAAAATGTCGCAAGAAGATCTCAAAGCCCAAGAGCCCATAGATCTAAGCGATGAAGAAATAGCAAAACTCTCAGACGCACAGTTTAAAACACTGGTCATCAGGATCCTCACAGAACTGGTTGATTATACTGACAAATTAGACAAATATATGAAGGCGAAACTAATTGAAATGAATGGAATTGCACAGGACACCAACAGCAATGAAAAGGAAACTGGGACTCAAATCAATGGAGTGGACCAGAAGAAAGCAAATAATGGCCAAACAGAAAAGAGTCAAGAAGTAAGAATTCAAAGAAATGAGGAGAGTCTTAGGAACCTCCAGGACATCTTTAAACGCTCCAATATCCAAATTATAGGGGTACCAGAAGGGGGAAAGGCACAGCCACCAGTGGAAAACTTATTTGAACAAATAATAAAGGAGAATTTCCCCAATCTGGCAAAGGAAATAGACTTCCAGGAAATCCAGGAAGCTCAGAGAGTACCAAAGAAGTGGGACCCAAGAAGGAACACACCAAGGCACATCATCATTACATTAGCCAAAATTAAAATGAAGGAGAGAATCCTAGAAGCAGCAAGAGCTAAGGGGACAGTCACCTACAAAGGAGTCCCCATCAGACTGTCAGTGGATTTCTCAAAAGAGACCTTACAGGCCAGAAGGGGCTGGAAAGAGGTATTCCAAGTCATGAAATCCAAAGACCTACAACCAAGATTGCTCTATCCAGCAAAACTTTCATTTAGAATGGAAGGACAGATAAGGTGCTTCTCAGATAAGAACAAATTCAAGGAGTTCATCATCACCAAGCCCTTATTATATGAAATGTTAAAGGGACTTATCGAAGAAAAAGAAGTTAAAGAAACATGAACAGTGAAAGGACAACAAACTCACAGTTATTAACAACCACACGTAAAACAAAAGCAAACTAAAAGGACAGCTAGATCAGGAGTGGAAACATAGAAATGAAGATCTCAAGGAGGGTTAGCAACAGGGGAGTGGGAGGAGGAGAAGGGGGAAGAAGGTACAGAAAATAAGTAGCATAGACAGTAGATAGAAAATAGATGGGGGGGCAAGAATAGTATGGGAAATATAGAATCTAAAGGACTTGAGACACATGGTCATAAACTAAAGGGGGGGTAATGGTGGGGACGGGGAGGTAGGGTGGAGGGGAATGAAGGGGGGGAATAGAACAACTTGTAACAGCATAATCAATAAAAAAATTTAAAAGGTGCAAAAAAAAAAAAAAAAAGAAAGAGAGAAAGAGAGAAAAGAGAAAAGCAGAGCCTGCCCTGGTAGCTTATTTGGTTAGAGTGTCATCCTGATATGCCAAGGTTGTGGGTTCGATCCCTGGGCAGGGCACATACAAGTATCAACCAATGAATGCATAAATAAGTAGAGCAACAAATCAGTATTTCTCTTCTAATATCAATTAAAAAAGAAAAAGAAAAGAAAAGCAGAGCCTACAGAGGAAGGCTTCCTGGTGGACTTCTTGAACCAACCCCTTTTTTCTTGCATGGTGTTTCTGTCATTAGCCATCAAGAGCCCAGGCTGACTGGCTTGTTTATACATCGGTCACCTGTAAGTTTGGTCAGCACAGGTCAGTCCCTGGAACCTAGAAAGCCTGGCAGCATGGGGGGCACCTACCTGGATGCTGCACCAAGAAGCCCCTTCTCTGGCCCAAAAGTCGACTCTAACCCAGCGGCTCTGCTAATGCTGCTGGGGACCAACCAGAGCAGGACCCGGCACCAAATCAAGCTCCAAGCAGCAAGTTCTTACCGCCTCCCAAATGGGACCTGAAGGGCACATTGTCAAAGCACATTTTTACCCAGAACCCAATGTAGTTAAAAAATGGGTGAGAAGCAGATCAGAGACCTCTGGGAGGAACCGGGAACCAGAGGTGGAAGTACCTCCATACAATCCATTCACACCCAACCTGAGCAAGCTGTTCTCACAAGGCTGGTGACGAGACCTGGTAGGGTGGGAAGGCACCCAGCCAAAGATGCCCGGGTCTCATTTGTTCACCCCTCTGCAGCGAATGCTTCGAGCAGGGAAGGCCCTCACTCACCGCTGTAGGGAGCCTCCTGGGCGCCCCAGGCAGACCCAGTGGCCTTCCCTGCCCCTCGCCACCCTGTGGTACGTGGCTGACCTGCCTCAGCTGGTGTACCAGGGTCACCAGGAGAGTTCTGTCAGCTCTCGAGGTTCACCAGGACCTATGGAATCAGAACTAGGGGGGCGGGGAAGGATGCTGTGCAGACATGTATGTGTACGGGGCAGAGATGGCCCGGCTCAAACTCAGGAAAATCAGGCCCAAGGGGACCACCAGACCCCCGCACCCCACAGCCTCCAATGTCCTGGGGTTCAATAGTCCTAGTCCCACTTTTCTAGCAGACACAGCTTCTGTTTATACACATACCACCTGGGGGTGGGAAGAAGCATATGAGTGGCTCCAAAGTTGGGTCCCTTCCCACTCCCACAGGTGACCTGCATTCCCAGGGAAGGGGGCTCACGGCATCAGACTATGCTGCTGCTGTGACGACTTAGAGTCTGACCGAAAGTAAAGTGTGAAAGGCACCAGCCTGCAACAGACCACAGGGTTCATGCCTCAGTGGCACCACGTCCAGGATGTGAAGCAAGGGACTTCGCTTGTGTAAGCGAAGTAAAATGGCTTAACAACAGAGTCTACCTACCTTGGAAGGCAAGAAGGAGGTTAAAAAAGCAAACTTGTAGGAGACTTCCGCCAAGATGGAGGCGTAGGTAAAAATACTCTGCCTTCTCTCACAACCAAGTTTAAAAACAACAAAGTTTTAGCAACAAAAACACAGCCAAACCACAGAAAATTGAACTATATGGAAGTCTAACAACAAAGAACCCTTCAGCCAAACCGGTAAGAGGGGCAGAGCCAGCAGCAGAGCGGGGTTGGGCAGGAAAGATCTACCAGACCGACCAGGCGTGGGACCCAGGCGGGCAGGCAGTGGGCGGATCCCAGGTGTGGAAAAGCAGGTGGACCCACTGAGGGCTGACCACAGTCACACATTCACACGCGGATAAGCCTCGAAGGAGCAAGCAGTGAGACTGAGACACACCTCACAGGCCCCAGCAGCAGGAAGCAGCAGAGGGGACCGCCATTGTCCCTCTCTGACCACGCCCCCCACATACAGTGTCAGAAATCAGCAACCTGGGTAGCCCCACCCTGGTGAACACCTAAGGCTCTGCTCCTCATACTTAAAGGGCGCAAACAAAGCAAAACAATATGGCTCAAGAAGAACAGCTCAGGGACTTCCGCCAAGATGGAGGCACAGGTGGATATACTGTGCCTTCTCACACAACCAAGTTTAGAGACAACTAAATATTAGCAACAGAAAACACAGCCAGAACACAGAAAATCGAACTTTTCAGAAGTCTGTTAACAAATTCTTCGGCCTGACCGGTAAGGGGCGAAACCAGCAGCAGGTGGAGCCGGGTTGCACAGGAAAACTCGGTCAGACGGACTCAGGCGCGGAATCCAGACGCAGGGTTGGACCTACTGAGCGACAGACAGAGCGGGCGACCAAGTGAGCAACCGCGGGGAAACAGCGAGGGAGCAGAGCTGCGGGTTGACTGTGGTCGTGCATTTGTGCACGGATAGACAAGTGAGGGAGTGGGCGATTGGACCGTGACCCAGCGGGTCCTCACAGCAAGCAGTAGGGGAGGGTGCCGCCATTTCCCTGCTCTGA